TGATTAGGATGTAGCATGATGTGTTCCACCATGCTCCCCATTGTGATAACAATGAATTAAATCTTTGAAACTGTATGCAAACCCCAGTTAAATACTTTATTTTATGAGCTGCTTTGTTCATGGTGTCTCTTCACAGTAATAAAATAGTGGATAAGACAATAACCAAGAGCAGTAACAATAGCCTATATGATTTGGAGAAACTCTGGGTTCTCACTGGCCAATAGGTCATTGGGATGCCTCATAGGTGGTTCTGGGATTTTATTTAATAAGCAATGGCTTCTAGGAGGAAGCCATTATTCCTCCATGGATGATACTTCCATTAACTCATTTTTGTAAGATTATAATTTTGGTACATATTCACTGTGGAATACTATTTAGCTGTAATGAAATGTGAAATCATGAATTTAGAGGTAAATGGATGCAACTATAAAAGATCATATTGTGTGAAGTAACCCAGACCCAGAAAGAAAAATCTTACATGATCTCTGGCATCAGAGACTCCTATATCCTGTAAATATTCAGATGTGAGTGCATATCCCCAGGTAACTGCTGAAGCCAAGAAAGGGAACTTCTACACTATTTTGAATAGTAGCTGAACCATTTTACATTTCCATCAAGAGTGAAAAAGAGCTTCCCTATGCATATATCCCCAACAGCATTTATTTTCATCTTTTTTTTTTTTAAGACAGGGTTTCTCTGTGTAGTTTTGGTGCCTGTCCTGGATCTTGCTCTGTAGACCATGCTGGCCTTGAACTCACAGAGATGCACCTGGCTCTGCCTCCTGAGTGCTGGGATTAAAGGTGTGCACCACTACTGCCTGGCCTTCTGTTTTCTTAATAATAGATATTCTGACTGGAGGAGGCTGAAATCTCTGAGTATTTTTCATTTGTATTTCCCTGGTGGTTGGGGATGGTGGAAAGGTTTTAAAGTATTCATTAGTCATCCTTTTTTCTTCCTTTGAGAATTCTCTGTTCAGTTTGATTAAATCATTTTTAATTGATTTTCTGGGTTTTTTGCTTGTTTGTTTTGTTTTATTTGGGGTTTTATGGCATTTCAGATATTTAAAAAGGTAATCCTTTATCAAATTTGGTTTTTCATAAATATTCTACCTCTTTACTGAAATTTGATATCTATAGTAATGTCCTGAATTGACTCATATAGCTGTTGGTTGATATTTTCTTAGAATATATTCATATCACCCTGAATTGTTTAATCATAGTTATAGTGGAGTTTTTTCCATTGTGTGTCTAAGATATTTTTACATCATTTTCATTGGTGACCATTATTATGGGATTGATCCTTTTTTATTTTTTTTTTTTGAAATTTAGATAAAATTACATATATCCTCCTTCGTTATGAAGTGTCATGAAGATGGCTGCCTAAACAGGAATTTTGGAAGGTAGAAACCAACAGACATGTTAATATTCAGGGGAGAAAATATCATAGGGCCTTAACCCTAGAAAAAGAACTTTAGAAAACCAAACTATGCTGAGAGTGGAATAAATAGTCTTCTTTGTGGAATAGTTCCCAGATGGATTATTTAATACCAAGATAATTCACAAATTTTGAAAGAGACAAATTGTTTATAATTGTATGTTCTTTGTATTTTTGAATAGGCATAACCTTCCTTTCTGGGATTAGATAATTAAAATTTTTGTTGCTGTTGTTTTAAAATTCAGGTCAGTTTACTACTTGTACTGGAGGTGTTTGCAGTATTCAGGAGAGAGATTGTGTTGGGGCTGCGTTAATGCTTTCTTCTTTTACACTGTTTTTCAGAACTCTAAGATTTACCCTCCCATCTTTCACTGTGAGTTGAGTACTGTTTGCAACTATACTTCCTTTTCAGCAGAGCACCTACTATTAAAACATAGTGTGCATTGACTACAGAGTACCCTTTCTTTCCTTCAGCACCAATTCTGTAGGGGACAATAATAGTATTGCATATATTAGTAGGTTATTAATTGTATATATGAGTGCAGATTTATAAGAAGAAAGAAATCATGGTGGGATTAGTGGTTAACAGTAGATTGCTAAACATGAAACAGAGCAAAGAGGCATGCATAGAAGGAGAAAGAAGAAAAGACAAAAAGTGATGGAGTATCACAAAAGGTGATGGTTTGAATTTATTTTTATAATTTTAAGGTAAACACTTTAACAACAGAGCTATGTCTCCAAACCTATTTCATTTGCTTTTATTTCTTTTTAAGGCTCAGCATAAAAATTATTAGTTCAAATGTCTTATTTCAGTTGAATTTGATGAGGAAAATTTAAGTAGAAATGAGCCTCTTGAAATCACTCCAGTGGCTGAGATCTAGACAGTCACAGACCTCTGTTGCCTTTAGCATTAGGCACAGGTCCTCATGAACCTCTAATCTTGTAGACATCGTCTGGCATGCATGAGTGAAAAGCACTTCATTAAAAATGAATGCTGGCCGAGTAGCTGGAGAGCAACTCAAGGGGCAAAAGGTACTGGTGTTGCTGAGGGCCATTGAGAGCTAAGCTTTGCTAGGCCTCACTGGCTTCGTTGAAGGTATTTATCAGGAATTATCTAGCGACAGTGGGAAGTAGCAAGCACTGCCACATAATTTGTAGGTTTAGGGGTGTTAACATAAATTAACACGAATATACGCTGAAACATTGTCTCAAAGTTGTATAAGAATTTAAATAAGGGGAACATTATCAACCCAAGAGGCCACACAGAATGCAATCTCTCTGCTTGTCTCTTCGTTCTCTGTTAAGATGCACTCACTACTAAAACACTTTTAGTTTCTCCTTACCTCTGAACGGTTCCATTTCACACAAATGCTTAATATTTGCGGGATGATTTCAACCCTTGCTTCCACGTTAATCTCACTCTAATTAAATTTTGTCTACCTTCCTGGATATTTATAACTTATTCATGTATACCATGAAAGATGTGTTGAATATATTCTTATGTTTAACTTTTGAAGGCACAGAGACAAATTCTGTGAATGGTTGTCATGTCCCACTATTGTATCAGTATCCTGATCAAAACATGAATGAGTGAATGAATAAGCATCACGTCTTAAAATTACATTACAGAATTCTTTTCTATTAGATAAGAGATTTTTTCTAACTTACTTAAGGAAAAAGTTGAAAAGAAAATTTGTATATAGGTTTTGCTTCATTAGCTGGTTAAAGAATTGTCAAACAACAACAACAAATAAGTACAAATTGGAAATGCTGCTTCTGTGATTAAATGTCCTTTTGTTAAAGTAAATGAAAGTCCCAGAGCACTTTTGAAGCCTTTATGAGTTGAAGAATTCTGATAGTCAGAGATTGCAGCACGTCATATTCAGTTCTTTGGGATTTACGAATTTTATTCCCCAGCTTTCCCACTGCAGTCATGATTTCTTTCACTCTCCCATCTCTTTCTCTCCCTCTCTCTCTTTCTCCATTGCTCTTCGTGTACACACATACCTGAGTGGAAAGATACATCATTAAATATTAGATGTTGTCACTAAAGTATGAGAATTAAGAACAATACCAAATGCATAGAAATGTAAACATTTCTGCCTTCCTTTATGGAATTATTAAGAGGTAAGAAATAGATACGCTGATTTTTTAATGGAAAATTGAATAAAATATATTTCGAAAATGTTTTTATTTCCAACTATTGCATGTATGTAAATCTACAAATACATTTAAAATGATTTATATTATTTGTCATATTTATCTTGAGATGAGCTATTATTTCTTTAAGTCCTATCCAGTGAAATATCATTTCCTGAAACTTCAGAAGTTCCTGGGATTTGTAGATTTAAAGTATGGGGATAATCCATCCAGTATGGCTTTCATCATTATAGTAAATGTCCAGCACAGGTGTGCATGAAGAAGACAGCATAAAGATAGTCTTTGTGAGCTAAAAAGAAAAAAATCTGTGGGAAAAACTCACTGATATCATGATCTTAACTTCCTTGCTAAAAAGTGTGAAAAGGGAAATTTTTTTATTTTAGCTCCCTGATGTGGGCTGCTTTGTGATGACAACCTCACACACTAATAATGGCTCTGAAGACAGTGCTCATTTTGATGCTTGTAGTCAAGAAGAGCAGGGAAAGTGGCACATGCTTTTAATCCCAGCACTCAGGAGGCAGAGCCAGGTGAATCTCTGTGGGTTCGAGGCCAGCCTGGACTACCAAGTGAGTTCCAGGAAAGGCGCAAAGCTACACAGAGAAACCCTGTCTCAAAAAACGAAAAAAAAAAAAAAAAAAGGCAAAAAAAATTAGCAATGTATTTGTCTGCATTGTCTGAATGATGCAACAAAAGTCATCTATTGTCTTATTTGATGTGGGAAAATATTTAGTAAAATCTATACACTGAGTGTTAAAAGAGAAAGTCCCTTAACCCAAACACAGCAGCAACCAAACAACACAAATGGCCATTTACCTTGAGTTTCAATGGTGAAAAGTCATAGTAAAATCTTTTAAACATCAAGGCCAGGCCATGTGTGGTGGCGCATACCTTTTATAAAAATATTTTAAATTGAAAATAAAGTCTCCTAATGCTTTGCTAGAGCTTTATTTGTTGCTTATCTTTACCTTACAGGTCCTTTGGGTATATATTATGGTTTGTAGTTTTGTGTTTTTATTTGGGTATTATATGTGATATTGGGGTTTGTGAGTGTGTGTGTGTGTGTGTGTGTGTGTGTGTGTGTGTGTGTGTGTGTGAATATCTTTGTCTTTGCATCTACATATGTTTCTCGAGGTTTTTTTTCAGATCCTTTTCTTTTGTTTGATTATCTATTTTGGTTTGTTTGTTTTTATTTTATCTAATTTTATTAATTTATTTATTTTAAGATGCTCATTTGTATCCTAGTAAGAGATAGAATGAAAAGGCCAGGATTCTGGTGGATGGAAAAATATGAAGGATCTGGGAAGGGTTGGGTGAGAATGTACTATAATGACAATATGTTGTATTTAAGAAAAAAAATATTTTAATGAAATAATCCACATTCAACATTATGCTAATTGTATTCATTATTTAGCTTTCCCATAGCAAATCCATGTACAATTGTATGTAAGAAAAATTTAGAGTATTTATCACTGCCTGATGAAATGAAATAATCTAAAGCTTACTTCATGTAGCTTTATATTCAAGCCATAAGTATTTTTGTATTTCTGTTATTGTTTTGAGAAAAAAGAAAAGGAAGTTACTGTCGTACAAAAATTCTGATGATTGTTCCCCCTCTCTTATCACCTGCTAGATCTTTCCCCACCTCTCCACCCTTCCAATTCCAGGCCCTTTTGTCTCGTCACTGAAGACAACAAACAGACAAGCAAAAGCAACAAACAAACAAGGATAAATCACACAGATAAATGAATAAATATACAAACAAAAATAAACAGAGAAAGAGCATGATAGATGCACAAAAGTGTAGA